AAGATATGGCTCAGTGGTTAAGAGCATTGGCTGCTCTTACAGAGGACCCAGGTTCAAGTCCCAGCACTCACATGGTGGCTAACAACCATGTGCAACTCCAGTTACAGGGAATCAACATCCTCTTCTGACCTCCATGGGCATTGCATGACACAGGTGCACTTACCTACATGTAGACATAAATAAATAATAAATAAAATAATAAATAAATAAATTAAATAAAACATCCAGTGTTTTGGTTGGTTACTGTTCTATAAGTCAATCCTTTGTGAATTCAAGAAAATACTAACTATAGGCTAAGAAGATGGGTTACACGACTGGGAACTCCCCTTGCATATTCTGCTGCATAGTCCCTGATCATGGGGTTCTACCTTAAAGGTTGGAAAGCAATAATTACAATAGCTAGTGATTCAGCTTACAGAATGCTGTCCCTTCAATTACATCATAAACAACTGGGCTAGGCTGCACTGTTTCCTTTTCACAAGTAACATCCAGAAAGTCAATAGATTCTACATTCTTCCTATAATCATTTAAATCATTTTAGTCTTAGAAGATTAAAAGAAACCCAAAAACCAACCCCAAGCAGAAGGACCTTCTTCAGACAAGCAAGCAAAATGTGAAATATCCCTTTTCTTTAAGCATCACTTAAGCACCTGCTTACTAGCTGTCTTATTCATACCTTAATTCATTCTACGATCATTTGTAAGCATGCAGTAAGCTGCCATAATAAGTACAAACTGCAACTTGAGGAAATTCAGTGAGGAAAAAGGAAGATTGAACCATAGCTCAAGGGGTAATGCTAAGATTCTGTAGGCCAGAGGGTCAGCATGATGACCTGGAGATAGTCCTGTAGATGTGAGGAAGTCGATCTAACAGTCCTTAGTGTCTCCAGACATTATGTCTCTGTCAGGGGATCTATTTGCCATGCCCAGTGTAAGCATATGTTTGCCCTGCAGTCACAAAGACTTGTATTCAATAAGTGATTCTGTCCCTTACTTGCTGTGAACTAGGACTCCAGGTTGATGAGTCTTTTACATTGTAGGGAAATGCTGAGGACCTAACATACATAACCATGTATGATGAATGTCTGTTGAGTGTCTACCCCCGTGTTTGGCCATAAAGCTACTTCATGGCCATATATGGAGAGAACATAGAGCAAGGTTTCTTACATGTTACTCCCCAAACAAAGCAGTGTTAAATAAATATTTAACTATTAGTAATAGTTAAAGTTTCTGGTTAAAGACCACTTTAAGGCACATAGTTCAAAGAGAAGGACAGGGATGAGGAGCAAGAGGAGGAGGAAGAAGAGATGGAGGAGGAGGAGGAAGGAGGAGAAGAAATTCAAATAAAAAAATCAAAAAGCTGGGCTTATGACTATAAAAATAAAGTAGAAATTGAAATTCTAAAATTGGATTTAATATGCAAAATACAAACACATCTTGAGCCTTTCATAGAACACCCAGCATGAAACAACCAAGAAAAATCACAGAATAATTTGCTTGTGTGGAAAAAGATAGAAGTCAGTTGATGCCACCACCCTCAGGGAGAGCCCTGCTAAGTCTTTTATTCTCCTAAGGGATAAAGGACAGAGAGGCAATTCCTGAAATATTCTATCCAAATGAGGTCATGGGGGAAGAAGACACTTGTAGGAGAAAAAAAAATCATCCTGATGTTTACAGAAAATGGAATTTTAATATAAGGTTATCTTTGTGGAAACTATGTCAGGTCAAGGCATTACTAAGATTTCATTGGACTGAAACACTGGGTTTTTGTTCTAGGTGTATATGGTTTCTTTTTCTTTCTACTCTGAACCTTACACCACCCTCCACAATCTGCCTGTGTACACTAGAAATTCTGCCATGAATTCCTAACTGAAAATTTCAAGATTCAATATGCATGACAATGAGACTGGTTACCTAATCAAAACTTAAGTTTAAAATTCTTTGTTGTTTTAGGAAGAAATTGAGTAAAAGTTATTTTAAGCAATCAACTTATGACCCACATCAGCAACCCGAAGAGACCATGAAAAATCTTGAGGATTTATGTTAATGGTTCTCAAGTCGGACCAGAAATAAAGGGTGACCTTGCTGAAGAAAGCAGGGTACACAGGACATGGGCCAAGCCTCATATCCAGCTCCCTTCAGAGAACTTCTGCTTCTGTCTGGTCTACAAATTGGCTTTCAAGGGCCAGGGAGGTGGCTCTAAGGAAAGATACTTGCCCGGTGAGCCTGGGAAACTGAGTTTGATCCTTGGAATGCACATAAAGCAGGAAGGAGCGAGCACATTCCACAAAATTATCCTCTGAGTTCCACTTTGGATCTGGACACTCAGACCCAAACAACAATAATAGATAAAAAATAAAAAATATTTTCATAACTGGTTTTCAGAATTCTGGCTAAGTAAAGAACAGCAGTTCATATAAGTTTGAAATCATCTGCATACTCTGTAGACTCCTGCCAGATCAGATTTTTCTGAGCCCCCAGTGAGGGTGATATTGCATGCAGTTTCTTGTCCAATTCCTGGTGGTCACATAATTCTCTCTTGAGTTAACTTAGCACCCCTTAATGTCCAGGCCCCAAGGAGCCTCTCCAAAATCCCATAGTCAACAGTAGTCAAGGAGTGCCAGCTGCCCTTTGACTGTTAAAAGACAGAGTCCTCTCACTATCTCCCTTGCCTGTCTTGTACTCATTCCACAGAAACTTTCCCCTGCACACCCCACCCTGAAGCCATGAAGAGAGGTGTTTCTCTTTCTGAGAATTTCTTCCAGTTTCCTTTTACCCTGTCCAACCCACATATTACTGAACTTAGGTGAGGACATTGTGGCTAACTGACTAGAGTGGAAGGGGGCTGCTTTCAAATCAATCCAAAGCTTAAGCAAGCTTTATTCATGAACAAGATACCATTGCTGGTGTAGTGAGAACAGAAATTCATAAGGAGAAAAAAGTCCTAAGAATGCCAACCCGATACATGGGGAAGAGAAGAGACACCATGAGGGACTGAAGCGGGACAGCGGGGGTCAGTGCTTCTCAATGCTATGTCTTGTCGAACCATTTTCAAGTTGGGGATGGGGAGAAGGACTTACAGACACAGACCAACCTGTCTCCCTAAGGGGGGTATGGGTATAATGACTCAGCACCCAATACCATTTAATGTGAATTATGAATACTTGAGTGTACATCTTTCAGTTCACAGTCATACATGTGTTTTGCTCTGCAAAAGAGGCGGCATGAGACCTTGTGAGTGAGTGAATGCATAAATACATAGACGAATGCATATATAAAGAACAGACACATGCCGTCTGCCCTCAAGGAGCACAGAAGAGCCCATATCAAGGGGAACGTGGATAATTAAGGTCCCAGAGTCACACTTGGTCTCTTGCCAGCCCCTGCCTCACCTGGTACACTTGCACAGCTATCAGATGTGATATCCCATGATGCTGGTGAGCAGGGTCTGCATAGGTATACATATCTCATCTCCCAGCTACAGAGGAAATGTCTTCTTAAGCAAAGTTCTCAAAGCTTGTGCCTGGATAATGATAAAGGGGAGCCACGGGGCTGTTGCAGTTGCATAGAGGTGCATAGAAGGTTGCTCAAGGCAGATGGACGTCGGGAACCCAGGAGAGCCTGTGAATACTGGAGTTCAGGCAGTACAAGTGCTAATCACCATATGGCATCCAGCGTTAGTCATTCTACCCACTGTCCTTGGAGCGAGGTGTATATGGACACCAGTAGCATTCTATGAGCAGGAGAATCAGTAATAAAACATACTTATTTAAATGGTTGTGGAGGGCTGGGGAGATGGCTGAGTTGGTAAAAGACTTGCCTTGCGGGTAAGAATACTTCACTTTGATATCCAGAACTCACATAAGCTTAAGTGAGGCATGGTGGTGTGTCCTTGTAACCTCAGCACTGGTGGTGGGGCAGACTCAGGTAGATCTCTGGGCCTCACTGGCCAGCCAGCCTAACATGGTGAGCTCTGGGCCATGCAAGGCCTTGGAGGAAACAACACAGTAGACAGCTCCCTTGGAGCAACACTTGAAGTTGTCCTCTGGCTACCACATGTATGCACACACACCTGTTCACAAGCACACACACACACACACGCACGCGGGCATGCAAGGCCTTGGAGTCTGCTGTGCCTGTGCATGCAATAGGTCTGTCCCTCTGTCAAGGAGAATGGATATGAACTGGAGAAAACAGCTGCTTGCATGGTGAAGACTCTTTCACATACATCTCGTTTGATACTGATCATAGGATTGCTACACTAAACTACCCCAAATAATCTGTTTGGAGTTATAGTTTTTGATTACTCAGGATAGTCGTTGATAATTAAGAAGATATCTGAAGAATGAGTCAGATAGCCTCCAGCCTTTGGGATGTGCTAGAAGTCTCTATATAATGAAGCTTTCTAGGTAGGATAGAACAGCGGGAAGGTAGGAGGCACTGGTGGACTTGCAGGAGGAGGACCCGGCACAGAATGTCCAGCTTCCCTCTGCTGCTGCTGCTGCTACTGCTCTGGGGTCCCGGCTCTTATGGCTTCCCAGCACTTCCAGAAGGCAACCGGCAAGATGTGGAGAAAGTCTGGGTAAATTCCTTTGCATCTTTCTACCATAGCATAATGGTGTTTCTGAATGGCTTTCCTTCTAAGAGAACGGCTGCTTGTCAGAAATGCAATCTCTGCAACATGCATCTTGCCAAGTCTAGGCTCCTCCTTTCTGGTTGGAAGTGAGAGGGACCCAAGAAAGAAGATGCAACTCCCTCTACATATTGTACATTAGCAACAGTGCAAACCCTCACTCTGCAAACCTTGCTCTATCACGAACTTCAGAATTCTTAGCAATTAGTAGGGGGAGGACTTATGCTCTAAAATTGAATTTTTACACTAATGATAAGGATGATGAAGGTGATAAAATCTAATCAAAACTTTAAAAGTAGCTCTCCATTTTGGCTGGAACTAAATACTGTCAATTTTTGTCTTTTTGGTTGTGAGCCTGAGCCTTTAACGGCTGTGCCAGCTCTCCAGCCCAATACTGTCAATTTTAAAATGAGAACTGTTTTTTCTTTTAATATTTCAATAATTTTATAGATATTTATTTATGTGTATGAAAGTGGACCATGTGTGGACCTACAAAGGCCAAAGGGATCATAGGATCTCCTGCAAAAGGAATTACAGGAAGCTATGGGAGCTGGGAACTGACCCTAGGTCTTCTGAAAGAGCAGCAAGTGCTCTTAACCGCTGAGCCATCTCTTCAGGCCCTAGTGTTTCAATAATTTTATATTTTATTAGAAATTTCTGGAAAACTACTACAAATTGGATGAATACCTGCCAACTGAAAAGCTGAAAGGCACGGGGTTGACGATTGAAAAGCTGAAGCAAATACAGCAATTCCTTGGGCTGAAGGTGACTGGGAAGTCAGTTCCTCAGTCCCCAGGAGTGGGGAGGAACGCTGAGCCTGAGGCAGCTGATGAGGTCCTGTATGTGACTGAAAACAACCCTCGCTGGCAGAAAACACATCTGACTTACAGGTAACCAGGGCGGGCATCAGAATGAGAACACTATTTTCTACTAGAGTAGAAGGAGACAATACCAAGGGGCCTCGATTTTATTTCATTCTAAGGCTTACAAATTACGAAACGCATTTGCCAAGAGAAGTTGTGGATCGTTCCATTGACAGAGCCTTTAAGCTCTGGAGTGACGTGTCACCTCTAACGTTCTCCAGGATATTTGAGGATGAAGCAGATATAATGATAACCTTCTTCCGTGGAGGTGAGCTCTCCCACTTTAACGCCATCTTGCCCTTAAACCTCCTCAACTTTATAAGGAGAATGCTTGCTGAAGGGCATTGTCGATTTTATGGGTTAGGGAGGGAAATACCATCATATTGGATGGAAGTTTGTTGACCTTTTAACAGAGCCAACATGCACCCTCCTGAGTTAAACAACATGAGAATCAAAAGAGCTTTTATTGAATGTATTGAACCTGTTCCTTGCAGACCATAATGACAACAACCCCTTTGATGGACCTGGAAACCTACTTGCTCACGCTTTTCAGCCAGGCCCAGGGATTGGGGGCGACATTCATATAGATGCTGATGAAACCTGGACTGACAATACTGACGGTGAGTCAGATGATGTTGCTTCTCTCAGTTCACCTGCCTCTTCATAACCCAGTGTAGCACTGGTTGATTTAATGGGCAGAAAGCATTCCTAGAAGTAGGCATTATTTTTCTATTACCACTCAGAGAATTAGTAGCACATTGAGAAACATGAAACTCTAGTGATTTCTGGTAGTGTGTCATCTCGTTGGTGGCAAGTGGTCAATCCAAAATTTCTCTTATGAGAGCCAGTGATATGACTCTGTGGGTAAAGGTGCTTGCTGCCAAGTCTGACGATTTGAGTTGGATCCCTGGTACCCACTTGGTGGAAGGAGAGAACTGACTTCCATAAGATGTTCTCTCCATCATACTCAAATAAATAAATAAATAATAAAAAATAAATAAATAAATAAAAAAATTTTTAAAAATAAAGAATTCTGAATGCTTTACTGTTAATTAGAGTGTGAACGAGTGAAAAATTGCATGGGAAAAAGTTTTCTGTGTGTGCCAAATTTTCCATTACTATGTATTTATCACTTTTATAAACAAGAAAAAAATTAAATATTGACAGCACCTCATTGCTTCTCTGAGCACCTCATACCTTGTGCCAGCTGATCGCTAAGGCAGACTCATCTGACCTGGGCTTTCAGTTGGGAAGATTGTCTCTATCTTAATCTTAGTATAATCCTAGAATTTATGCTTGAATATGTCTATTTATTATTAATAAACATGTTCTCTGATCATCAGAAAAAGTTGTGCATCCAGTACATTTCAAAAACTCAGTAAGAAGATATGAACATTAGTTCTTGCCGATTATTTCCTCATGAAATGCCTCACAACTGAACACATCTTTTAATAACTGGAAATGGGTCTCTGTGTCCTTTCAGATTACAACTTGTTCTATATTATGGCTCATGAAGTGGGCCACTCCCTTGGCCTCTTCCATTCTTCTGATATTGGAGCTTTGATGTACCCCAGCTACTCTCTGTACACTGAAGACTATGTGATGCCTCAGGATGACATCGATCACATCCAAGCCTTATACGGTAAGTAAAACATCCACTGTCTGTACAGCTAAGAAACACTCAGTGCTTAGGTAGGCTTCCAACACCAGACAAATCTAACTGTAGGTCTTATTTTCTTTAGGACCTTCCCTGAATCCCATCCAGCCAACGGGCCCACAGACTCCAAGACCATGTGATAGTAGCCTAACTTTTGATGCTGTCACTTCTTTTCGGGGAGAACTGATGTTCTTTAAGGACAGGTAAGGTCTCCATTCTGTGGGCTCTGTGTTCCGTACTATAAAGCACTAATATGATTCTTTTGTTAATCTTACATTGGTTTGTGGCTACATTTATATGGTAGAAAATGCATGTGCTTTGTTACAACTTAGACCGAAGTTATTCTGCACATGGATTAGGTCAGTTGTTTCTGAAGTGGAAAATCAGTAAATACAATGTCATTTTATGATCCAGAAATCAAGGCCTCTTTTTTCTATATTTTACCCTTTACATACCTGAGGTTATCTGTGCCATTTGTACATCCAGATGACAGGTATCCTAGGTGACCGAATGCTGTTGTGACTTGAAATTTGCCACAGAGTGAGTCCTTCCATCAAGGAAAAGACCATGTGCTGTAAAACAGCCCCTCCCCTGCCCCAGCCCTTCCTCTGAAGACACAGATATTCAGCACTCGCTGGCACCAGCACCAGTTCCAGCAACAACAGGATGTCAGCTGGAGGTCGCTGGAGGCACAAGGAAAACCTTACTTTCTCTACTTTTCAAACCAGGTTCTATATTCGGGTAAATCATTTTATGCCTGAAGTGGAGCTCAATTTTATTGGCATTCTCTGGCCAGACCTGCCAAGATCTGAACTTGATGCTGCTTATGAGCTTAGTGAAAAGGATGAAGTCCGGGTTTTCAAAGGTAATGTTTCTGATTGCTTTTCTCTGTTTTTAGGAATTAGACTTTCATTCACTTTTGGAGTGAAATAAAAGGGAACTAGCTACACTGTCTACAAGTACTTTCAAATAACTTAGTTGATGGGAGTCTATCGTTTTAAAATTATAAAATTATATTGTAAAAATATAAAAATTATATTGTATATTCAGAATCATTTTGAATAAACAGAGATGCAATTCTTTAGGCCTGTTTAAGAACTTGACTCGGGTGTTTCTTATGTAAACTCTGTATTCAGAACTCCCTCCATATTTCTGGGAGTACTCCGTGATAAAATTTAGAGACGTGGGCCGATTATGCATAAGATGAAACAGACTTTGTTCATGTACTTTATTATATGAACCACCCTTTTGAGAGAGGGGGAGGCCACCACCAGGCAGTTAGGTGGAGCACTGCCAACCTGCATTTAGAGTGTGGGCCTTGCCTCAGACCAGCAGCATCCGACAGCACCAGAAATTTGTTACAAATACAGAATCTCAGCCAAGCATGGCGACTTTGACTTGCAATCTCTGTACTTGGGTAGGCAGCAGCAGCAGAATTGTGCTATTTCTATGTAAAAAGAAGGAAGGCAGGAAGGAAGGGAGGGAGGGAGGGAGGAAAGAAGGGAGGGTGAGAGAGCAGAAAAAAGAAAGAAAAAATAACATTAAGGTACAAAAGTAGTAAATACAACCCATTTTACAGAATAATAAAAACAGAGCGAAGGAAAAAGGGAGTCTGTGGAGGCACAGATCTCATGGGTGACATCAGTCATTGATCCTTGATCCTTACTCCAGGGCTCTTTTCTTGATGCCAATCTGTATGAGGATCATGTTAGTGGTTTATAAGAAGAACTAAAAAATAAAATAAAATAAAACAGAATCTCAAGTCCCGTTCTAGAACTTCTTTGAAAGAATCTAAATTTTGGCTAGCTTTCCAGACAGCTTATCTACAGATTAATGAAGGAATAGCCCCCAAATGACTGTGAATCGAACAGAATGGGCTACTTTGATTCTGTTGGGATAAAAGAGTCCAAAGTCTTTAGCTTTGAGGACTATGCCAAACACAACTATTTTGGCAAATATGTATTTGGTTTAGTGCAGACAAGAACTGAGACCCGATCCAGTAACACAGTCAAAGAACTGAGCATGATTCACATAGGCTTAACCATTTGAAAGAGCATTTCAAGCCTTTATAACACAAAATTAAATAGAATTTTACACACCATTTCAAAGAGCCATTTCATATGGGCTAAAATAAGCATGTTTGTGAACAGGAGTGATTGTGGATTCAGGGCAGAAGGTCAGTTTTATATGATGTAAATGCTTACTGGCTATAAACATACAGACGTGATATTCCACTTAAGTTTAGCTATCTGGAACTGCAATCTGGTCTTATGCAACAATCTGAATGCAAAGTTGCAAATTATTAGATAGTGTGAGCCATTATAATGCTTTGCCTTTAGGATACTGTTGCTGTGAGCTATACTTTAACTTTGTTATCACTGAGGTACAGCATGGCAGATATTAGTCATTTTGAGCATCTGCTTTGGAAAAGGGCCAAGGCTCAGTTACATAGTGAGTTCTAGAATAGCCTGGGCTCCAGTGTATGACCTTATCTCAAAAAACAAAACAAACAAAAGACAAACTCATTTAATTGGTCTGAGATATAATCCTACCTTTAACTTTGAAACAAAACAAAACAATACCATCTTCCCAGGAAGTTTCCAGGCTATAGCTAGGTCACTGCTCTAGCATGAGAAACTCATCTGGAAATGTAGCTGACTATCTACTGGAGCCTTGGGCTGTTATGTTCAACTGTGGCCTTAATCTGCAGGTAATGAGTACTGGGCTGTTAATGGACGGAATTTGGTGTCTGGATACCCCAGGGACATCTACAGTTCCTTTGGCTTCCCAGAATATGTGACAAATATCGACGCTGCTGTTTGTGAGGAAGAGATTGGCAAAACATACTTCTTTGTTGGAGACATGTACTGGAGGTAAAGACTGACAGTAGCCATCTGCCTTTTCTGTGAATGCTGGAGCCACTGAGTGTTTGTTAGTCCTCTGACCAATGGCCAGCACGAGGCGCTCATGCTGGGAATCCTGTACTGAACAATGGCCATCACAAGGAGCTCGTGCTAGAAATCCTATACTGACCAATGGCCATCACAAGATGCTCGTGCTGGGAATCCTGTACTGACCAATGGCCAGCACAAGGCTCTTGTGCTGGGAATCCTGTGCTGCTACCTTTTGAAAAGATGGCAGGGTGAAGGCTTTCAGCTTCTTTAGCTGCTTGGGCCTAAATTCCCATTTACATAGCAATTTACCTTATTAGAACATAGTGTGGAACCTACTGGATTTCAGTGTAACCTTATACATCTATTGGTATATCCAACTCTGCTTTTCCTCATCCAGTTCCCCCTTTTATAATCTCTAAAATTAAAAAATTGTGGTTAATCCATGTTGTTGAATTTCATGTAGAGATTTTTAAGATGTCTTCATGTTTAGTCAAAGGTCCTGATGTTTCTATTCATTTTTTGGCCAGGTATGATGAAAATAAGCTGGTCATGGATGAAGGTTACCCCAGACTTATAGCACAGGACTTCCCTGGAATTGGCCAGAAAGTTGATGCTGTTTTCCAGAGACAAAGTAAGCGAATATAAAAGTATTTCCTCCTCATTTTGTTACTATAGTAACAGTACCAGTATTGCTATTTGGGAAAACAGGTACCAAAAAATATGTTTGCTGATGACATGGGGTGCTCAGGAACTCAACCTAAACCTAGAAACAACTTGCATAATGTGCTAAATACATTTTTTTTATTTCTAGGATTTTTCTATTTCTTTCATGAATCAAATCAGTATGAATTTAATCTTGAAGCGAAGGAAGTTCATTTTTCCAACATAACTAATAGCTGGTTCAACTGCTAAAGTTACTGACAAACGATTACAAAATCAATGGAAGAATTTATTTTGTGAGCCCAAGGAAGAAGCTTTTCTGAAGAGCCATGTATTATTTGCATTTTTACTTAATGTCTAGAAGCACTGGTATACAGGACTACTAAATCTGAATACAATTGGACCTCATTCTGCAAACTTTTCATAAGTTGCAGTATGGTATATTATGCACTAATACAACTTAGTGCCATAAATGATGGTCAAGAAGGTCGAGTTCACGGTTCATGATTCACACAGGTCAGTATTGCAAAGAAGGTCAGTTTCACAATATGTGATCCGACATTGATCCTGGAGATCAGCCTCAGCAATGGACAGTTCCTCTCAAGAAAGATGTAAGAGAAACAAGTTCTTCCCAGAGTGAAAGCAGTTTGAGGACACACGAGCAGCTCTGCAAGAGAATATTCATTTCTTTTATATTTGTTTTTGTTTTTTATGATGGGACCTTACTACAGAGCCCATGCTGACCTGGACTTGATATGAGATCCAGGTCGGCCTTGGACCTACAATTCTCCTACCTCTGACTCCCAAGTATTAAGATTATAAGCATGTTTTACTATGCTATGGAACAAAATAACGTGTTTGATTCCTGAAATAAAGCCATGATTGTTGCTAATTCTCTTTTTAAATTTTATTTATTATTTTTATTTTATGTGTATACATGTATTGCCTGCATATAGGTAAGTGCACCTGTGTCATGCAATGCCCTCGAAGGTCAGAAGAGGCTGTTGGATCCCCTGGGACTGGAGTTACAGACAGTTGTTAGCTACCATGTGGGTGCTGGGATTTGAACCTGGGTCTTCTGCAAGAACAGCCGGTGTTCTTAATCGCTGAGCCATCTCTCCAGCCCCATTGCTAATTCTTTATAAGATTGTTCTATTGCATTTATGAGTTATTACTTGATTATAAAGCCATACTTACAAAGACTTTATTCAAATTTAAGATGAAAAGTAAACAATATGAAAAATTAGCATATCCAAAAATGTTAACATTCTTGTGGAGTTGATGTAGAGCTGGGGTCTCTATTCGCTTGCCCCAAAAATGAAATCCAAGCATGGCCTGAAGGTAAAGTGAGTGAAAACTTGGAAGACTTTTCTAAGCAGATGCCACTTCACCCTTTGGGCACAGGGGAGGGTCCCGTCTCCTTAAGTTCTACTGCCCACTGTTTCAGGGGGTTGAAGATACTGGACGGCTACCAGGTTGTGTGTAGAAGCCATGAACACCTTAACTACCAGCACAAATATTTCCAGTGCTTTACTCTCCTGTTGTGGTGATCATGGAAGCAGTTCTGAAAACGTTTCTGTAAGATCAAGAAGTCAGAATCAGTGAGCTGCCATCCAAAAGTGATCTCAAAGTTCATGAGATTTGCTCACATAAGAAACAAGCCTTTATTGAATTAAGCCACTAGGAATCTGGATTTCATTAATAGTGAATGATCTACTTTTTCTAAATAAGCATTACTTAGTTTAGGATGGTAATGTGAGATGAGGCCTGTACATGAGGCAATTCCCACAGTTCGTGAGTTTTATAAGTAGTCCACCAGGTGCCCAAGGAGGTTTGCAGGCTTTGGAAATACATAGGGTCTCGAAAATATCTTGTGATACTTATGATTCTAAGGCAGTTAACAACTCAATATTTTGGAAAGCAACATAACTTCTTTGATTAAGTGTCTGTTTCTTTCTCAAATTGTCTTTGCTAATATTGAACTCAAGACACAAAAAGAATGCACCAGACAGAAACATTCATAGCGACGACATCTCATCTGTTTAGCATCCTATGTAACTCTTAACAAGTTACGAAAGAGAACATGGCATCAAAGCATCCCCTGAAGGTGTCTCAGTGCTGCTCAACTCCGCTTTAGGCTGGTCCTCAGGAAGCAGCCCATGAAATGGGATCTTTGCTGGGTCATTGAAAGCAGGGTTCTCAGAAGAACAAGGGGGAAATGCTTGAGCACAAGGGAAAAAACAAACAACCTGCTCATGGATGGGGACTGCTCTGATCTAATGAGAGCTGAATGGAATAAAACTGGAACCAGAGTTTGCCACACCTTGAAGCACAAGGCTTTGGGCCCTTGAGTCAAGTAGGCACCAGTCAACACCCTGTTTGGGAAAGAGCAGAGCTTCCCATCTGGCAGAGGACTGGGACAGAACTGTGAGACATAAGCAGCCAGGAGGATGAGCACCCTGATGCTACAGAGGACCCGAGGAGCACCAGCAGCATCACCGCACATCCTCCGATTCCCAGAGATAACTGTGCTGATTTCCTGACACCTTCGGCTAACACGTATTTGAGAACCAAATTGGATCAGGATCACATTCTCCATACGGGCCTTTCTCTACGGAAACCTTTGAGTCTGGATTCATCCATTGTTGATGGACTTTGGGGTCTTAGCATACGGGGTATTTTATAAACAACACTGCCCACGAGTAGGCATTTCTGTTGACCCTGAGCCCAAGGGTGCAGTTGCTAAACTGTGGGGATTTTCAGACACTCCTTCAGGTTGCGCTTCAGCCTTGTGAACCTTTGATCTGAGCCCTAGCGGGAGTGACAGGTACTGGGCAGGGCATGTCCTGAACTAGCTTTTGTCAAGCCTGTGCAGTGGACTTCCAGCTATGCCTATGTTGTAGCAGGGCTGTGGAACTCACAGAGTTCATGCTCGTGCACCTAAAAGTCAGAAGACTAATTAATTGTGAAGCAAATAATTTACTAAAGTGAAGAGAACAATGGAAAGACTGTGCCTTGCAGCTCCCTTTCTTTGCTGACAGATCTCTGGGGTTCTGTGTATTTCTCTGTTGTTGTCATTGTCGTTTTCTAGCTTATCTGTCTGGTTGTTGAGACAGGGCCTTACTATGTAGAGCACTCTGGCCTTAAATTCATGATCCTCCTGCCTCAGCCTCAAAAGAACTGAGACTGAAGATGCGTGCCACCACCCCTGCAGGAAGTCTATTCTTAAGATCCTTGTTTCAAGAAGGTCCTCAAATGGCCCCATGCCAACTACTACCTCTCTCCTCTGTCTCCAGTTGACAGTTCACCCTTGTCCTGCCTTTCCAACTGCCCCGCTTGCACTTCCTGTTCTTCAACACAACTCTCTTGAGTCACAGGTCCCAGCAAGGATCTGTTTCTTTTTCCTTTATCTTTTTTTTTAATCTCAGATTGGCTCTCAGATTAAGATAATTTATTCTGAAATTGGAGTAGTAATAGTTCAATGTGTGGTATGTATGGTGTATTACAGTTACTAGGATTCTTATCTGAGATTTATTGTGAAGAGGTAACGGTGCAGGTGGGCTGTGGGTTATCTGGTGGCTGTGATTCCTCAAGTGTCTAAGAGAAATGCTGTTCAGAAGAGCTGAGGGGTGCTGGTTAACTCTTCTGGAAATTTGACAAAAGCCAGTCATGCATTCCAGAAGTTTCCAGCTCTAGACACAAGAGAAGGTCAACAGTCACTGCAGCGCCATCCATCACAAGCTGTGCTGAGAATCAGTTCCATGCATAACTTTGAAGTTGGGTGCTTCTTGGCTGGAGCAGTGTATAGACAAACCTGTAAATTTTACACTTAAATTTCCCAGGAAAGTTCCACATAGGCAGAAACAGTACATTTTATTTCTCAGACAACAGCCTACATTTTATTATTTTTTGAAATTTTCATGTATGTATACAATGTATTTTGAGCATATCTACCCCTTGCTCACCACTCCCATTCCCCCAGGACCCCCATAGCATCCCCCTCCCAATTTCATGTCCCTTCCTTCCTTCCTCCCTTCCTCCCTTCCTTCTTTCCTTCCTTCCTCCTTCCCTTCTTTTCTTTTCTTTCTTTCTTTCTTTCTTTCTTTTTCTTTCTTCTTCCCTCCCTCCCTCCTTCCCTCCCTCCTTCTTTCCTTCCTTCCATTTTCTCTTTTTTCCTTTCTTTTTTAACCTGCTGAATCAATCCTGTTAGTGATGCCCATGTGCACATGAATGTGGGGCCATCCACCAAGGCATGGGGACACTCCTAGTGGCCTTGCTCTAAGACTGAAGAAAGAAATCGAGGAAGACACCAGAAGATGAAAAGGCTTCCCAGGCTTACAGATCAGAAAAAGCAATGCTGTGAAAATGTTTATCTTTCAAAATAAATCCAGATTCAATGGAATCCCAACCAAAACACCAGGACCTTTCTTCACAAACACGGGAAAAACGTTTGATCATGTATATGGAGGCACAAGAGACCAAGGATAGACAAAGCAATCCTGAACAAAAAGACACTGTCAGATGTATCAGCCTCTTCTTGCATTGAGAACTCACCGAGAACTTATCTGAGATAATACTTCCCATGATAATGCTCATCCTCCCAAATTTCCTTCTCCACTTCTTTCTGGCTTCAGGAAGATACATAAGGTCAAGTCTCAGAATAGTTCCAATTATATATATATAACAGGAAATAACTCAAAAACCAAAGAAATCGTATGACTTGATGATTATTAAGTATCGTCAAGAACCAATGAGACATTTATCAAGGAGCTGATATTAAAAACATTGGACTAAGACCAGAGATACAAGGCTCGAAAAGGGAGAAATTACTGAAATGGGTACATAATTTGGGACTTGGGACTCCAAAAAAGGAACTGGGAGCTTGTCTAATATTTTGTTCATCTAGATCCTTAAATCTTGGACACAATGATGTTCCGTGGATAGAGTTGCCAAAACTTCTGTCTTATGGTAGAGAATTAGCAGTCAGAAGGGGAGAGGGAAACTCGGATCCGATTTATTGCATGAGAATTAAGCACCCAGCACTCGATTCTGGTCCTTGGGATGGCATGAGGGTGCTTTCCATCAAGGTTATGAAGAACATACTGGAGAGGAGACACACTGGTGTCTCAGAGCCACCTCAGAGTGCCTGCTCTCTACAGCCTAAGGTTGAGACTGTCAGGCGTCACTGTGGAACTGAGCTCTTGTGGATCATTGGGGTTAATGGGGTTTCAAAATGGTGAAAGGGTGGGTGG